ACCAAGGCCTGATACCATAACCAAGGCCTGACATTGTGCCTGTGGCCTGATCCCATAACCAAGGCCTGATACCATAACCAAGGCCTGACATTGTGCCTGTGGCCTGATCCCATAACCAAGGCCTGACACCACAACCAAGGCCTGACACCACAATCAGAGCCAAAACCTGTCCCCAGACAGTAGGCATTTTCCTGCAGATTTTCCAGTGTCATTGGTGATGAATACTGTTGGCATTAAACCATTAAGTATTGGGAAGGGTCTCTGGCTGGCTGTCTCTCTGCAGAGAACCATGGATCAGACATGATCTGCTGGATTCAGCTCTGCACGATGCGCAAAAAGCAGTGACACCTGTTTACCGATCATTCTTGACTTAATAAAAATATGTTTTTATATAGGAATAAAGGTTAAAAGTTCTGACTGACTGTCTGGTAGTTCGTAAAAATCTCTGACATCTGGCCGCCATCTGATTGGGTTAAACATACAGTCACTGCTCTCATAATCTGCCCTTTCTTGCATAGTTTTGTACTTCATGTTAAATAAATAAATGTATGTAATTTTCTATTACATGCTTTATGTTAGATCACATTAGAATGATTGTTAAATCATTTAATCTTGATCATAATTGAAGAACTTGCTTTGATATGGTACATGACAATCTTCCTGCAACAGGAAGATCCTATAGGCATTTTTTAAGGATCATTATGGGAAGGTTTCCTAAATTAACGAGGCCCGATATTGTTAGAGGTAACAAAATAGTGAAAACCAACTGTAGTTATTTCTATACCTACTTTACTGAAAATTTTAGTGAAGTCATTTAAAGACCAAGCAACTATTAATTTCATGATGCTTCAGGTTTGTGGTGTTACCATCCACTATTGACGCTCCGCATGGTTTGCACTGAATCTTGTTTTCTTTCACATTTATCCATGTCGGTAAGGTCTTTTCTTGCCTAACGCGACTGGTACAGATTAGGCCAAGGGCAGTGTCAAATTTTTCATACCATCACACTGTCCAGACCTTATACTATAGTATTCAATTTTTTAATAGTAATTTCAAAGGCAAAGATATTCCAGTATTTTAAAATCTTGCTGATGAAACTCACTGAGCAAAGGGGTTTCAGAGTCAGCACCAGTTTGTCCCAGTCTTTTGTGTGCCCTTCCCATTTGGCCAGCAGGTGTCGCTGGCCATCCTGTCCTCCCTGTTGTCAGCCTTTGTGTTTTCCCTGCTCCCTGTTGGCTGCATGGCTCGAGCATGCAGCTACCTGTTAACCCCTCTGTTGTGTGTTCGAGTCCCACCTCCTCTGCTTTTGTATTTTGTTCCCTAGTGTTTTCTCCCTGATTGGTTTATTGTTTCACTCCTGCTGTGTCGTTACTCAGTTTAGTTTCTGTATTTAAGTCCCTGCCTTAGTTCAGTTCCCCAGTGGTTCATTGTATGAATGTCTGTATGCCAGTGATGTTGAATGTTGTGGTTTTTTCTTGTATCCTACCTACCTGCCCGCCCGCCCCTTGTTGCCCTAACCCATTTGTAATTAGTCTTTCTTTATCCCCTTTTATTATTGACCCCTCGTGGTCTTATTTTGTTTTGTAGTGTTTTCCCTCATATTCAGTTCTGTTAATAAACTCTTGTTGTCCTGTGAGTTGCAAGTGGGTCGTCCACCTTTCTGCCTGCACCGTGCCTTGTTCTCGCACCAGAACTACCCGGGTCCGTGACATTATCCAATCATGCACAGCTGCGATCAGCATTAGGGTTTCAATACTTTTACGGCACCGAATGAATCACTTACATACCATTGAGTTTCAAAAAATGCCTTGTCATTGAGTACCAAATTTTTACACCTAAAGAGTAAATCTCATCCACATCAGTGAATCAACATCTGTCTAGAGAGGGTGAAAGAGCTGGAATTCATACCAGTATTAACACACTCATTCATCAGATTTGATATTTCTGCTCAACTTAACTGTGTGCTTTTTGTTTGTGGTACTGATTGTTTTTTTACTTTTCATCTTGTTAGCACAGGTGCCACCATTTAAAGTACTGTAAGCATATGGCCCTGACACAGAACACAGGGTGGTACCACCGGACTACCGAAAAGTGTATCCAGTCTAAAAGATTCGGAAATCTGGTGGCCCAGTGGACCACCATATGCATTCACAATTTGTAAGTCCCAGAACTTAAGTTAAATATTTTTATATATTATGATACTGTGCTGAGTGTGTAAAAAAAAACCAAGAAACTGAAAAATAAACTGAAGATTTGTGTTGTAATATGCAAATGTAATTTTCTTTTTGTTAAAATTAATTTTGAAAAGTGGTATTGAAAAAAGTATCATCCAGGAACTGGTATCGAAGTTAGGGTGTCAGCACTTGGACCAGTATCAAAAACATTTGAAGTACATCCAGTCCTAATCAACACTAACTAAAGATACTACTTCTGATTGGATCTGTTTCAGATTCTCCTCTTCCTGACATTCTCATTTTTTATTTGTTAAGTTTTATTATCTTCTGTTTTTAATCGACAACAACAACAACATTAATAATAATAATCATTATTTACATAGCACTTTTCATACATAAACAATCTCTATTAAGAAGAAAAAAAATTTTTTCATGGTTTTTTCAATGAAATTAATTTTGTCTGGGATAGATCAATGCAATCCTGCACTATAAAAGTGACTATGTATGACAACACCCACTAAGGAGTGGTATTGGTAAGTCTCCTAAATTTCAGAGCCCGAAAAGAGTTATATGGGCCCACCCTCCTATGAGCCCCCCACCTTCAGGGGGAACCATTGGGATTGGGTGCAAGGTAAATCAGGTGGCAGTCAAAGGCAGGGGCCTCAACGCACCAATCGTCGGCTGCCAGATTTGACTTTAGGGAAATGGAATGTAACCTCTGGTGGGAAAGGAGCCAGAGCTGGTGCAGGAGGTACAACCCACGGACCGGGCTTGGAACCAAACCCCTGCAGAGGGGTTGGACTCCATTCCACCCCGGAGTTGCCCATTGTGAGAGACACCGGGCAGGTGTGAATCTACTCATGGTCTGACTTTTATCTGTGCTTATGCATCGAACAACAATTCAAAGTATTCAGTCTTCTTGGAGACCTTGGATAAGGTGCTGGGATAGAGGCTTGGGGGTACAGCTGCAGCAGGGCCTCAGAGGCC